CTCGTTTCACTGAGTCTCTTGGAAGTATCTCCACTTCACTTACTCCAGTTAGTTTGAGACGTCCCTTCTTTTTCAAGAAGTGTTTGCTTTAAGAACGGTTTTCTCCAACGTAGCTTCTTCACTAAGGATGTATAAGTGAGGCTTTCGAAGTGTTGAAGAACTGGAGGAACTTTGCTCTTTGTTGGACGAGAGGATAAGGAGTTGATATCTTTCCAACGTAAGCTTTTCTTGTTGAAGTGAATGGATTTGAAATTTCAAGAAAGCTTGGATGTTGAGGGATTAGTTTTAGCAAAATGTAGAGCAGAAGTTGTCCTGTAGTTCTTCGAAGTGTATCTTATATACTGAGAGCAGTCTTCCCGTTGGAGTGTAGAAGACAACTTCATTAAATGCTTGTACTGTTGATTTGACCAGTTGGACCGCATGGTCAATCATCAGCTTTAAGTATACCTTCGACTTGCTATTTTGGGGGCGAAAAGATGCCCGCATGGTCCATCATCAGCTTTAAGTATATCTTTGCATGTACAATATTAATTGAGCATTTAATGCGTGTACAGTACCATGTTTCCGTTGAATGGATCCTAGCCGTTAGGGAATTTCCCGTTAGTTTCACGACCGTTGGGATGTGCCTTCGAATTCTGCTAAGTAAGAGCAAGTCTGATGAGGCTTTCTGGTCCGGACTCTGATGTCTGCCTCTGATGCCCACTCTGGTACCCAACTCTGGTAGCTTCTCTGGAGAGCAACTCTGGGAGCAACTCTGGTAGCTGTTCTGATCAAGAAGACCAAGAGGGTTTCTGGCATGTCGACTATGCTAATACTTACAAAGAAATTTCTAATACAAAATCTCTATAGGGGTACTTTCAAATTCTAATTATCCTAGCATCATCAAAATCTAATTACATTTATTCCTTACACTATCCATGTTGGAGTTATTCATTTTATTTTTCAGCTCTTTGTTCTCTTCTTCTAAGACATTGTTTTTGGTTAAGGCATCTAACAATTTTGCATGAACAACCTTAATGTCTTGTTTTCATCTATCATTTTCAGATTTCAAGAGAACATGGTGATTTTGGACCTTTTGGAAGTCTTGTAGTAAATATTCCAGTGTAATGTTAGAGGGTCCAGAATCACTTGAGCTATAGGAAGAGCAGGATGTTACCTCAACATTATTGAAGTGATCATCAACCATTAAACATATAGGTGAGCAGCTTTCATCACTTTCACTTGTGGAGGTTTCACTGAGCTGCCTGCTGCATTCTCCAGTGAGCCACCTGCCACCTTCTTCAGCCACCTGCCAAGATCCTAGGCAAAGGAGTGCTTCTTCTGAGCTTTCAAATGAGGAGCTTTCATCATTTGAGCTGCTTTCTTCATCACTTTGGGATTCCTCCTTTCTCTTTTCACTTACAAAGGCTTATCTCTTGCCCTTGAAATCCTTCTTGTATTCAGCTTTTTGAGCAGTTGCCTGCTGCCCTTGATACTTTTGTGTCAATGGCAGAGGGCACTCATTTTTGTAATGTCCTGGCTGTCTACAGTTGTAGCATAGGACAGTGTCCTCACTGGATTGAGGTCTCCCCTGTCTCTTGGTTGGCAGATTGTACGGCTTCTTTGGGGTAGATCATTCTTTCTTCATGAATCTCTTAAACTTTCTCACAAACATGGCAAACTGCTCATCAGTGAGAAGATTGTTGTGGGATATCTCATTGGATCTAGATGAGCTCGGTTCTGACACTAGGGCTAGTGTCTTTGATTCTTCTTCCTTCTCTTCTTTGATCTCCTACATTTCAAACTCATAAGCCTTAAGATCACTGAAGAGCTTATCAATTGACAAAGTTCTGAGATCTCTGCTATCTCTCATAGCAGTCACCTTCATGTCCCACTTTGAGGGCAGACCTCTCAAGACCTTAAGGGAAATCTCTTTTTGAGATAGTTCTTTTCCCAGGTCAGAGACCTCTGCCACAATTTTCAGGAATCTGGACTCCATCTCATGGATAGATTCATTTGGCAGCATTTTGAAGTCCTCAAACTTCTTGAGGGCTATGGTCAGTTTATTGTCCTTTTCCTGTTCATCTCCTGCTCCAATTTTTGTGAGCTCATCCCAGACATCCTTGGCCATTTCACATTTCCTAATCCTGGGAAATATGGATTCATCTACAGATTTGAAGAGAATATCTTTGGCAATGTTGTCAAGATTCTGTCTCTTCCTGTCTTCAGTTATCCATTCCAATTTGGGTTTTGGAATGTACACATCTTCTTGATCATCAGTTTGTTTAGATGTGTTGACCTTCGTTATTTTGACAGGTCCCACTGTAATCACCTCCAACATTTTATCATGTAAGGCACTGAGATGTGCTTTCATTCTTATTTTCCAGTCATCAAATTTGTTCAAGTTGAACAGAAGATTCTTTGCAAGCTAACTATCCATTTTAAGAAAGTATTTGGGAAGTAGAGTGGATTTTGATCTTTTTTTTTAACCCGGAAGGCAAACCACCAAAATCAGTGGGGCAAATGCCGGGGAACATTTACCGGATTTTATTGAGAAGAATAGAAGTTACAAAAAGAGAGGGGGACTAGACCAAGACCTCTCCATAAGAGGCATACCTCTTCAAAATACAAGCCAAGGAAGCAAAAGTAATAAAAAAATTTATTGGGGGGGGGGGGGGGGGGGGGCTAGACCAAACCCAATAATATTACAATTAATAGTATCTAATAAAACTGAGCCCGAGTTTATCAGCAATAATAGATTTACGAAGATAATTTGGAACCTGATTAATATTGTTGAAAATAGTAAAACCATCAAGTTTTAATCTGGAAAATAAATGAGCTGGCCTGTTCGCCTCCCTCAGAACATGTCCGAAGGTCAGCCTTACGATGTCCATCCCTCTTCTTCTATCCTCCAAAAAATAGCGAGCATAGCCATTCCCTGCAAAAAATTCAATCGCTCCACTACAATCCGATTCAATCTCCATCTCTTTAAACCCCTGCTTGAGCATCCACTCCACAGCTTCGAGGATAGCACCAGTTTCTGCTTCCACAGCCGACCTAGCAGAAATTGGAAAGTGTAGTGCGCAAATGAAGTCGCCTTCACCATTTCTCAAAATCGCACCGCCTGCAGATCCATCGTCTCCATACGAGGCATAACCGTTCAGCTTATAATTCAACTCAGGTATCTTCCACTTTACCACTCTAATTTTAGGTAACGAGAACCGAGTAGTGTTAGGTATAAGAGTTTCCTCAAAAAGGATATGATTATGGTCCCCTTTAATTTTCAGTCTGCTCAATTTTGCCATGTACCATTCCTGTGTGAAAAACCTAATATGTTGAATCACAGTGTGAGGGGTTGGAATGTTCTTCCGATCCCCCCAAATGACCTGAGAATATATTTTCCAGATATGCCATGCGATAATACCTGGCATATTGTGTCTGAAAATGTCCATAAGACTCCTGGAACCCGCTTCCATCCACCAAGCAATGAAAATTTGTCTTATAGACATGGTATCCTGATAGTAAGGAATTTCAAGGATACCCATAAAATATTTCCAAATACACCTTGTGTAGCTGCAATTATATAGAATATGATCCATATACCCATTATCCTGTTTACACATAGGGCACATTGAAGGATAAATATAGAGTCTGAATCTAGTCAAATTATCAGGAAAAGGAAGTATTCTATGTAGTAACTTCCATTGAAAAATTTGAATTTGACTCTTTTGCTGCTTATGCCAGGCATGCTTGAAGGAAAAAGTCTCAGCTCCTTTTTTTCTAACAATCTGAAAAGCAGATGACAAGGTAAAGGTACCATTACTCTCTGGCAACCAGCTCATTCCATTTGGTCCTTCCTTAATATTCTCAAACCCAATAGCATTAATATCACAAATACGTTTCCATATTGTAGAATCATATGATTTAGGAATCATATCAAGACCTCTAGGGTATCTGGAATGACAGAACTTAGCCCACAAAGAACTTTTGCATTTCCATTTCCATCATAATTTCAATGAAAGTGCTTTCTGGACATCATGAATTGATCTGATCCCTAACCCTCCTTCTTCATTGGATAGACAAACCTTCTGCCAGTTGATCCAACGATATTTGTTTTTGTTATTTGCTGAGCCCCACAAAAAAGTAGCCATTTTCCTCTCTAAAATCTTAATCACAGACTTAGGTAGAATGTCAACTGCAAGTGTATGTTGAGGAATAGTATTTAAGACATATTTGATCAAAATAGCTCTCCCCCCCATATTCAAACACTTCTGCTTCCAAGAAGTCAACTTCTTATCAAAAGCCTGGATAATTCCTGAACAAAATCTAATTTTGTTTTTTCCTTTGTGTAGGGCTGCCCCCAGATATCTCATTGGTAGATTGATCTTGGTCATTTCCAGTAATCTTTCCAACTTTCTAATTCTGGCTAAAGAAGTTTTGCCACAGGTAAAATTACTTTTACTAAAGTTAATTGCCTGTCCTGATGCCCTTTGATATAACCCAAGGAATCTTTTAAAAACCTGAACTGACCTAGCCTCCTCATTTAAAAAAATGAGAATGTCATCTGCAAAGCATAGGTGAGAGATAGGCTGACCATATTGTCCAATCCAAAAGGGCTTTATAGCATAAGAATCAATTAGAGTTTTAAACCCCCTAGAAAAGGCTTCTGAAGCAAGGATAAATAAAAAAGGTGAAAGAGGGTCACCTTGTTTAACACCTCTGGAAGGTTTAAAAAACCTAGAAGGGGTGCCATTAATGAGCACAGAGAAGTGTGTAGCTTTTAGATGGTCCAATATTAATTTGATAAAGGACCCAGCAAAACCAAATTTAATCAAAATGGCTTCTAGAAAAACCCAGGACAATCTATCAAAGGCCTTGGCCATATCCAGTTTGACAACCAAATTAGTGCCCCTGACCTTCTTATCTAAGGCATTCACGATTTCTTGAGCCACTAGTATGTGATCAGAAATGTCTCTTCCTGACATAAATCCAGCCTGTTCCTCTGAAATGAGCTTTGGAAGTGTTGTAAGAATTAAAGATAGAATAGTAATGAGAAGAATGATTTTTGTGTGTATTTCATTGGAGGGTCAAGCCCATATATATATACATTACAAAGATAGAATATTCCTTTAAGATTCTATACAATAATAATATCCTAGAGTATATTCCTAAAATATTCTAAAGCATATTCTAAAGATAGAAGAATATTCTAAAACATATTCTAAAGAATATTCTATAATGTCTTTCACACTCCTCCTCAAGTTGGAGCATAAATATTTATCATGCCCAACTTGTTACATAAGTAACCAACACGAATTCCATTTAGTGCTTTAGTGAACAAATCTCCAAGTTGCTCTCCAGTCTTCACATGTCCTGTAGAGATCAATCCTTGTTGTATCTTTTCTCGAACAAAGTGACAATCGATCTCAATATGTTTTGTTCTCTCATGAAACACTGGATTGTTGGCAATGTGTATAGCAGCTTGGTTATCGCACCAGAGTTTAGCAGGCATTGGTGTCTTCAATCCCATTTCACTCAATAAATGGTTTATCCAGATTATCTCACATGCCGATTGTGCCATAACCCGATATTCTGATTCAGCACTCGAACGAGAAACCACATTCTGCTTCTTACTTTTCCAAGAGACGAGATTACCACCAACAAAGACGCAATAGCCAGATGTGGATCTTCTATCATCTTTAGATCCAGCCCAATCAGCATCTGCAAAGCATTCTATTCTCATGTGATTATGATTCTGATAAACAATACCTCGTCCCGGTGTCCCCTTCAAGTAACATAATATATGCTCTACAGCATTCCAATGATCCACTGTCGGAGATGACATGTATTGACTTACTACACTCACTGAGTATGCAATATCTGGACGGGTAACTGAGAGATAATTAAGTTTTCCAACCAACCGTCTATATCTTTCCGGATCTTCGAATGGCATACCTTCATGAGTGAGTTGTACATTGGGAATCATGGGAGTACTGCTTGGTTTTGCCCCCAATTTCCCTGTTTCAGTTAGTAAGTCAAGCACATATTTACGTTGAGATAGAAATATGCCTTTCTTACTCCGTGTAACCTCAATTCCCAAGAAGTATTTCAATGAGCCCAAATCTTTCGTCTGGAATTGACTATGAAGAAAATTCTTTAGGGCCAAAATACCTGTATTATCACTCCCTGTAATCACAATGTCATCGACATACACCACAAGCAATGTAATACCTGTTTTCGTTTGTCTGTAAAATACAGAGTGATCTGATTTGCCTTTTATCATCCCAAATCGTTCAATTGATTGGCTGAATTTCCCGAACCATGCACGGGGACTCTGTTTCAAACCATAAAGAGACTTGCGAAGTCGACAAACTTTCCCATACTCCCCCTGAGCAACAAACCCCGGAGGTTGCTCAATATAAACTTCCTCCTGAAGATCACCATGCAAGAATGCATTCTTAATGTCCAATTGATGTAAGTGCCAACCATGAGTTGCTGCGAGAGAAATAAGTAATCTGACAGATGTTAATTTAGCAACAGGAGAAAATGTGTCAGAATAATCAACGCCATAGGTTTGAGCATAACCCTTCGCAACTAATCGGGCTTTCAATCGAGCAACGGATCCGTCAGGGTTAACCTTTACAGCAAAGACCCACTTACATCCTATAGACTTCTTCCCTGTAGGCAAGTCTACCAAATCCCAGGTACCATTAAGATCCAAAGCATTCATTTCCTCTACCATGGCATGACGCCAATCAGGATGAGACAAAGCATCTTTAACAGATTTGGGAACAGAAATAGAATCAATGGAAGCAATAAAAGAACATGAGGCAGATGATAACTGATGATACGACACACATGAAGAAATAGGATGAGTACAAGACCGTGTACCTTTACGTAGTGCGATGGGGAGATCAAGATCTGATGTAGAGACAGGATCTGAAGATGCAGGTGTCGGTTCAGGATATGAGATCGGATCAGTATTAGGAGAAGTAACCACAGGTGGAGGGTGATCTTGCACTTTGTGTCGACGGGTGTATCCCAAGTGTATCGGAGGCCTAGGCTCAGGAAAAGTAACATGGGGAAGAACTGCTGAAGTATTGGACTCGGGTATAGTGACTGTGTAAATGAGTATATCATCATTCTCCCTACAGATATTTGTGTCTGTTGATGAAAATGGTGTATTTTCATAAAAGGAGACATCAATTGAAACAATATACCGACCTGTACTTGGAGAAAAACATCCGTACCCCTTTTGAACTCGAGAGTAGCCTAAGAAAATGCACTTTAATGACTTGGGATCTAACTTTGTTAAATGGGGATTAACATCTCGTACAAAACAAGTGCAACCAAAAACTTTAGGAGGAATAGGAAAATTTTCATTATTTAGAAATAGGCACTGATATGGAGTTTTACCATCTAAAACGGTAGATGGCATTCGATTGATCAAAAAACATGCGGTAGACACAGCATCTGCCCAAAAATGTTTTGGCACATTCATTTGGAATAGAAGAGCCCGCGCAGTTTCTAATAGATGTCTGTTCTTTCGTTCAGCAACTCCATTTTGGGGAGGTGTGTCTACACATGAAGTTTGATGAATTATGCCATGTTGAGCCATATACAACTTAAATGAGGCAGACAAATACTCTTGAGCATTGTCTCCCCTTAAAATACGAACATGTACATTAAATTGAGTTTTGATTTCAGCACAAAAGGCACAAAAATGAGAAAATAACTCGGAACGACGTTTCATGAAATAAATCCAAGTCATACGAGAATAATCATCAACAAAGGTAACAAAATATTTAAAACCAGATTTGGACACAACAGGGCAAGCACCCCAAACATCAGAATGAACCAGTTCAAAAGGAGCATGTGCTCGTTTATTGACTCGAGGACTTAGACTACTTCGATGATGTTTTGCAAATTGACACGAATCACACTGTAAAGATGACACCTTATTGAATTGAGGATAAAGCTTCTTTAACAACAGAAGAGAAGGGTGACCTAGTCGATAGTGAGCCTCTAACACAGTTCCAATGCCAAGACAAGAGATTGATTTGGGTAAGGATGTATCCAAGAGATAGAGACCGGCCGACTCATATCCTTTACCAATAACCTGATTCGTCAACAGATCCTGAAATACACAATATCCAGGAAAAAAGGTTACGGAACAATTAAGTTTACGTGTGATTTTGCTGATCGAAATCAAATTGAAAGCAAAATTTGGAAGACTTAGGACGGGTGACAAAGGTAAGGTAGGTGTTGGGACAATTGTACCCGTACCAAGAACGGGTGACGTAGATCCGTCAGCCAAAGTCACACTAGAAGAATGAAGAGGTGTGTGGAATGAGGAAAAAAGACTAGGATTACCTGTCATATGATCTGTTGCTCCTGAGTCGATAACCCATTTTGAGGATGAAGATACAAGACATGTGTTTGGATTACCTGAATTAGCTACAGCTGAGATAGGAGTAGATGAATGCTTTAGAGCCTCCTGGTAACCTAGGAATTTGGCATATTCCTCCGAAGACATAATGATGGATCCATTAGATGGCTGTGTAGCGGAAGCAATGTGAGCGACTTGATTTCCTTGATTTTTGAACTTTAGCTTTCGACAATCTTTGATCAAGTGTCCGGGTTTCTTACAGTAGTTGCATACTACTCCTTTGCCAATCGGTCCTGTGCGTGGCCACTTCTCACCTCCATTGGGGAATGTTGGGACTTGTCCCACAAAAGCATTGCTTGGCTGAGGTGCTGATGATGTGGATGAAGTGTCAGTGCGAAGCACTCTACTGAAAGCATCTTGAAGAGAAGAGACCACATCACTAGATAGGATATGTGATTTGGCTGTTTCAAAATCAGACGTAAGACCAGCCAAAAAGCTCATGACTGCCATTTGTTCGCGTTGTTTCTGCTGCACTTTGATATCAGGACTAAAGGGCATTAAGGTATTAAGTTCTTCATACGTTTTCTTGAAATCCATAAAATAAGCTGTGAGAGGCTTATCTTTCATTTCTGCCCTGTAAAAGGCTTTGCACACCTCATAGATGTGGTTAAGATTACCTTTGCCAGAATACATAAATTCCAAATAATCAAAGAGTTCTTTCACAGTATCACAATGACTAACATACCCCATGACGTCATTCTCCATGGAGTTCTGAATCTGGATAAATAATCTAGAATCATCACGAAGCCAGACAGCATTAGCAGCTCTATCAATCTCCTCCTTTGGCGGGTCATCAACTAAGTGGGTGTATTTATCAATGCTTCGTAAATAACGTTTGATAGTTTTACTCCATTCAAGATAGTTAGAGCCACAAAGTTTATTCTCAGTAATTTTAAAATTAATGGGAATAACTTCGGAAACTACCAAAGGCTGAGCATGTTGTACGGTGGAAGTGTCTGTATCAGAACCAGGCATTTTTTTTTGATATTTTTTTTTTTGACTTTTTTTTTTGACTTTTTTTTTAATTGCAGAAATAAGATGCTATGTATTAAGTAAACTTACAGCGACCAAAATACTATCCTTGAATGTCGTTGTTACTTAATAAGCAAAGTCACAGAAAGATAATACCGTTCAAGACACCGGAAAATAGTTCCGATGGATTCTCCGGCGATTGGGTCTGCGATTAGGTCTGCGAGGTCCTCTGACGGCGCGTGTGGCCTGCGGATTTCGAGTGTAAGGTCTGCGGCGGAAGGCGTGACTGCTTAGGGTGGAGGTGATGCTATGTGAAACTGTGGATTTTGGACTGAGGTTCTGAATTTTGGGCTAAGGTTCTGGCTGAGGCATGAACTGAGATTCTGAAAAATACTGCTAAGCTAAACTGGAACAGATTGCTCTGATACCATGTTGTAAGAATTAAAGATAGAATAGTAATGAGAAGAATGATTTTTGTGTGTATTTCATTGGAGGGTCAAGCCCATATATATATACATTACAAAGATAGAATATTCCTTTAAGATTCTATACAATAATAATATCCTAGAGTATATTCCTAAAATATTCTAAAGCATATTCTAAAGATAGAAGAATATTCTAAAACATATTCTAAAGAATATTCTATAATGTCTTTCACAGGAAGAATAGCACTGAGTCTTGAGGCCAAAACTCTAGTACAAACCTTACTGATGAAATTTGATAAGCTGATAGGTCTAAAATCAGCAAAGGTAGAAACCTTATCCCCTTTAGGAATCAACACAATAAGAGTACAAGCCATAGCTTTAGGAATGTGGTTTCCAATGAAAAAATCTTGGACTGCCCTAACCACATCCATACCAACAATATCCCAACAGGTTCTAAAAAAACTCCATTATATCCATCTGGACCAGAAGCACCATCTTTGTTTAGACTCCATACTGCTTGTTTAATTTCCTCCATTAATGGGATCTGCATCAGCATATCATTATCATTGTCATTTACTAACTTAGGAACAGATTGCAATAGTTCATCAACATCCTCCACTGATTCTTTTGCAAAAATTCCAGAAAAGTAGTCCTCAGCAGCTTTAGCAATAGATTCATGGTCATTGCACAGATTACCAGCAGAATCTTTAATAGAAGATAAGTGTTGAATCCTTCTTTTGATATTGACATATGAATGAAAGAAATGGTTGTTAGCATCCCCTTCTTTCATCCATTTGATACGAGCTCTTTGTTTCCAGAATTCCTTTTCTTGATTATGTCTAACCATAAGCATGGATTGATGAAAAGACCAATTTTCTCTATTATCTGCAGTGGGGTCAGATTCATAAAGAGTCTCAGCTTTTTGTACCTCCTCTTCTAGCTTAGCTAAGTCATGAAAGATGTTGCCAAAAGAAACTTTATTCCACTCCTTCAGAGCCTTCTTTAAAAATTGTAGCTTGTCATATAAACCCCTCATACCACCCCTAGATTTACAATCCTTCTAGGCTTTTTTGACAACATCCAAAAATTCTGGATTAGAGACCCACATATTCTGGAATCTAAAGGATCTTGGCCTTTTAACTGACTGATTTTTGCATTGCATCATGATAGGAGAATGATCTGAAGATGTTTTATTCAGGTGATTGATTTGAATAGTATCAAACAGGTCAATAAAGGAGGAGTTTACCAAAACTCTATCCAGCCTGCGCCAAACTCTTCCAGAAGTTCTAACTCCAGTCCAAGTGTATGGACTCCCATGAAAAGGTAATTCCAGAAATTCACAATTCATAATACAATCTCTAAATTCATTCATACTGATCATTGGGGGAGAGAAAAGACCTTTATGTTCCCCTGGGGTGGTTATAGCATTAAAATCACCACCCACCATCCAAGGTTCATGATTATAAGCAGCCCAATCTTCTAGAAATGACCAAAGCAATCTTCTATAAATGTAACTATGAGCACCATAAATTGTTGTAAACCAATAAGAAATAGAGGCAGAAGAAACTTTCATATGAATGAACTGTTCACCAGTAGTAATATCAGATATATCCACACAAGAAGAATACCAAAATAGCCAAATCTTGTTATCCTTACAACAATAATAGCTGCTCATACCCAATTCCATAGCAAAGGATGAAATTCTAGAATTAGAAATGATAGGTTCCATAATAGCTACTAAATGAACTTTCCATTGTCTAATTAATTCTCGTAGCCTTGGACAGGAGGAAACAAGGCCAAGGATATTCCAAATTAGACAATTCATTTAAACAGAGGAGGGAAAGTTATAGACAGCTGTTTAGCTGTAAATCTAGTCAGTCTGGGGGTGTCCGGGACCACTTGCATAGGTTGTCTTTTTTTCCTCCTTGCCACTTTAATGAAACCATCCTCATCTTTAAGTGAATCAACTTTTGTTATATCTGCAGTCTTGCTGCTTTTGTTTATCATTGCTGCAACTTTTCTGGTAAGACTAGCCTGTCCCTGTTTCCATTTGCATAAATTATCAGGTGAACACCAGTCACCATCAGTAGAATAACCTTTAGCACACAATGCAGGATCATATTGATTTCTCTGTTGGATCTTCAAAAGCTGGTAATCATCTACAGCTACCTCAGAAGTAAGTAATCTGGCTGCTCTGTTAAGGACAGAGACCTCCTCTGGTCCCTCATCCTTAGGGACATGCTGGGATACTATTGGAGCCAGGATCTCTTCCTCAACTTTAGAGGGCAGCTTTAGAGCCAATCCCTTCAGAAGGAATATTAGATGTTGATGGAATGTCTAAAGCATTAGTAGTAGATGTAATATGTTGAGTGACTTTAGCCTTTTTCATGTCAATTATTATCCCCTTCCCTATATCCCCTTCTGTAATTAAGGGTTGAGTTGTCTTCTTTGCCTGCTGCTTGATGGGTTTAGCAACCCATTTTTCTATAGATACTTCTGGAACAGGAACCCCTTTGGAGGGAAGCATCTCCACTGGCTTTTTAGGGCAAGAGGCCCCAGAATGACCAAGATGAAAACATATAGAACAATATAATGGCCTATTTTCATAAATGACCTGTTGTGAAAATCCTTGTGATCCGCACTGGATCCAAATTTTATTGGGCATCTCCCCAGTGAGATCAAGCTCAACACACACCCTTGCCAACGATGGCCTTGAAAGAGATGCAGTAGCAGCATCAATTTTGAGGGGTCTACCAATCATTCCCGCAATATCAAAAAGAGCACGTTTATCATGCAAATGTATGGGTAGATTTTCAAAACATAACCAAATTGGAACAATAGGAGATTCCACATTAGGTCTAAAATCTGGAGTCCATTTAGTAACGCGCATGGCACTACCAAAAATATCCCAAACTTGACGATTCCACAAACGAGTATAATCTTCTTCTAAATCAAATCGAATCAAAATGTGTTTTTTTTCAAGAGCCCCAACTGAAATTTACCTTTGAATCCAATCAATTCAAAGGCCTTACGCAATGAAGTCATTGGAGGCCTTCCAGAGAAAAAATAACCTACCAAATCTCTTCTATGTTTTGATGCAAGCAATTGGATTTCCTCATCCGGAAATGTGATTGCCGGCATCCCCTTGAACCGCGACAATTGTTTCTTTGATAAGGGAAGATCGGATGATTCCCCAACAACCACCGATGCAAAAGAACGCCCAGACCAAGCATGATTGGACGGAGGGGGAGGCGCCGCCCCCTCTGCCACCGCAGGGGTGCACATTCAAACGCCTGAACTAGGTTATCGACAGTCTAGAGAGAGTTCTATCGCTTCCCCACTCCTTATTTTGGTGGATTTTGATCTTTAGTTCAAATTAGTCAGAAACTGACTCTAGGAACACTCCTCTCTGATACCACTTGATGGTCCCTGATAAAGGTAAAAATCTAGAGGGGGGGGGGGGTGAATAGACTTTTAAAGCTTTTTCAACTTTAAAAACTTTTTCTTTCTAGATGAGTTTAACCTATAATCTTTTAGGAGATTTATAGATACACAGCGGAAGTCTTTAACCTCTATATGATCAGTGTGTGACAACTTTCTAGCTTGGGTAATGTTTGGACGTATACAGTGAGCAGTTGGCTTGGCAGTTGGCTGGATGGCAGGTAACTGCGGAGGGAACTGCTGAGGAAATATTTAGTGTATGATGAAAGTGAGGATAGACTGTTGCTTAGAATGATGAGAGCTTTCTGGAAATGTGCTAAGGTGAGTATAAATGAAAGTTTACGAGAGCAGTGGTCTCAGCAGTTGGGTGATCAGCAGGGAACTGCTGAGGCACCTGCTGAGTTACAGACTGGTTTTTAGAGATCAGTTTGAACAAACTTCTTGGTAATGATGTTATGAAGATCTTGTGACGTTGAGATGTTCAAAAGAAATAAATGTGTAAGAGCAGTGGGCTTAGCAGTTGGGTGGTCACCAGGGAACTGCTGAGGCAACTGCTAAACTTGATAGAAGAATTCCTGAGATCTGATAGAACAGAATTTTTAGTAGTGATACTACATGGCCCTTGTGAGAAAGTTGTCTCAAAGAAAGTAAGTAATTAAACAGTAGGATAAACAGTAAGATCAATTAAGACTACTGCTTAGGATACTGGTGGCAAACTACAATCCTTTTATGAGAACTGTTGGGTGTGTGCTTTGTTGAATGAAAGTAAATCAACACACAGTATATCCTGGTTCAGAGGTGGTGTAATCCTCCTACGTCCAGTGTCACCCTATTTCAGATGGATTTCCACTAAAGTACTAAGCCCAATACACTTAGTGCCAATCTAGCCTTTACAACACTCAGGCCTAGATTGAAGGTGTTTCACAAGGAGTACAACACCACTCCAAGTTACTCAATCCTTAGAATTTTCTCAATTGATCCAGTGGGGATCAAAAGGTACTTTATCTATCTATCCATACTTAGGACTTGATAACACAATCCTTCTAAGTGTTTATAACAATATTTTTTTTGATTTGTTACAAGAAAGTTCTAACCTCCAACTAGGAACTAAACTTGGAAGTTTAGTGAAACATGAGTCTAAGCAGAGAGTAAAGTTTAGACAAACACTTTCTCTTTTGCTAGATAGCTCGTATATGCTCAGTGGAAGTATTTCTCTACTTAGGATACTCAAACTTGGTTAGAAACTTTTATTTCGGCCTATATTTATAGGCTTCTCCTGCTGATTAATTTCACTTGTTGGTTAGGATGATTTAATCCTTGACGTTAGTACGAGTATATACTTTTGTCTTCATGTGTTGGAGCATTTATTGAGGCTGTTTCTTTTATTTGGTCGCTGAAGGATCACTTTCAAGATCATTTGTGAGCTTCCCACGTTCTGGACCCATGTACTTGATCCAGCATTTACTGCCGGTCAAGTTTTGTCTTCAATCATATACATTCAATGTGTATGATTTTTCGTACCTATGCACCCTTATTTTTGTGACAGTTTAATTTTTGTGAGCAATTAAATTTATACTTGTAGGATTTAAATATCCTATTAAGGTAAAAACAATTACCTTATTACATTATAAATTTCCAGTATAATTTTTATTAGTCTCAAAAATTGTACATTTATTTGTCACTTATGATTTGAATTTAAACACTAATACTCGAATTACATGAGACACAATGTACAGGTGCTAAGTATAGTGGCATCATCAAAATCTATTAAAATTGGGTACTAACAGTTAATACCCAATT